ATACAGTGTATAATACACAGAGCCATGCTATATATATATATAATACAGTATATAATACACAGAGCCATGCTATATATATAATACAGTATATAATACAGTGTATAATACACAGAGCCATGCTATATAATACAGTATATAATACAGTGTATAATACACAGAGCCATGCTATATAATACAGTATATAATACACAGAGCCATGCTATATAATACAGTATATAATACAGTATATAATACACAGAGCCATGCTATATAATACAGTATATAATACAGTGTATAATACACAGAGCCATGCTATATAATACAGTGTATAATACACAGAGCCATGCTATATATATAATACAGTATATAATACAGTATATAATACACAGAGCCATGCTATATAATACAGTATATAATACAGTATATAATACACAGAGCCATGCTATATAATACAGTGTATAATACACAGAGCCATGCTATATATATAATACAGTATATAATACAGTATATAATACACAGAGCCATGCTATATAATACAGTATATAATACAGTGTATAATACACAGAGCCATGCTATATAATACAGTGTATAATACACAGAGCCATGCTATATATATAATACAGTATATAATACAGTATATAATACACAGAGCCATGCTATATAATACAGTATATAATACAGTATATAATACACAGAGCCATGCTATATATAAAATACAGTATATAATACACAGAGCCATGCTATATAATACAGTATATAATACAGTGTATAATACACAGAGCCATGCTATATAATACAGTGTATAATACACAGAGCCATGCTATATATATAATACAGTATATAATACACAGAGCCATGCTATATATATAATACAGTGTAAAATACACAGAGCCATGCTATATATATAATACAGTATATAATACACAGAGCCATGCTATATAATACAGTGTATAATACACAGAGCCATGCTATATATATATAATACAGTATATAATACAGTGTATAATACACAGAGCCATGCTATATAATACAGTATATAATACAGTGTGTAATACAGTATATAATACAGTGTGTAATACAGTATATAATACAGTGTATAATACACAGAGCCATGCTATATATATAATACAGTATATAATACACAGAGCCATGCTATATAATACAGTATATAATACAGTATATAATACACAGAGCCATGCTATATATATATAATACAGTATATAATACACAGAGCCATGCTATATAATACAGTATATAATACAGTGTATAATACACAGAGCCATGCTATATAATACAGTGTATAATACACAGAGCCATGCTATATATATAATACAGTATATAATACACAGAGCCATGCTATATATATAATACAGTGTATAATACACAGAGCCATGCTATATATATAATACAGTGTGTAATACAGAGCCATGCTATATATAATACAGTGTATAATACACAGAGCCATGCTATATAATACAGTGTATAATACACAGAGCCATGCTATATATATAATACAGTGTATAATACACAGAGCCATGCTATATATATATATACACAGTATATACACAGAGCCATGCTATATATATAATACAGTATATAATACAGTGATAATACACAGAGCCATGCTATATAATACAGTATAGGACACAGTGTATAATACACAGAGCCATGCTATATAATACAGTATATAATACAGTATAATACACAGAGCCATGCTATATAATACAGTGTATAATACAGAGCCATGGCTATATAATACACAGTGTATAATACACAGAGCTATGCTAATGTTGTATATAATACAGTGTATAGCTATTGTAGCCATATATATAATACAGTGTATAATACAGTGTATAATACACAGAGCCATGCTATATATATATAATACAGTGTATAATACACAGAGCCATGCTATATATATAATACAGTGTAAAATACACAGAGCCATGCTATATATATAATACAGTGTATAATACACAGAGCCATGCTATATATATAATACAGTATATAATACAGTATATAATACACAGAGCCATGCTATATAATACAGTATATAATACAGTATATAATACACAGAGCCATGCTATATATAAAATACAGTATATAATACACAGAGCCATGCTATATAATACAGTATATAATACAGTGTATAATACACAGAGCCATGCTATATAATACAGTGTATAATACACAGAGCCATGCTATATATATAATACAGTATATAATACACAGAGCCATGCTATATATATAATACAGTGTAAAATACACAGAGCCATGCTATATATATAATACAGTATATAATACACAGAGCCATGCTATATAATACAGTGTATAATACACAGAGCCATGCTATATATATATAATACAGTATATAATACAGTGTATAATACACAGAGCCATGCTATATAATACAGTATATAATACAGTGTGTAATACAGTATATAATACAGTGTGTAATACAGT